ACACTTGGTCATTCAATAAAGTATATGATTTGGCAGTTTCTGCACTAAATTCTAGATTAAATTACTTCCAAATTATATTTTTAAATCTAAAACTTTATATTATAAAACATGTAATTACTTACGTAGTTTGTTTCTGTTTTAATAAAAATAATTTTCAATGTTACTAAGATGCAACTATACCATAGAACCATAGAAAAACATGAAGCTTTAAGTCCAACTTTTTGTGTCTGATTTCTCTTAAGAAAATCTGTAGATTTTTTTTCCCAAACAAGTATTTGAGAGTCCTGCAAAACAAGTACAAGATTTTTCTAAACCAAACAGCTCAGAATACGTTCATATGCTATGTATATACGTTATATGTAATTTAGATAAACCAAAACTGTGTGCTCTAGAGTACATATAAAAGCTGAATCAATAATGTTGAAATAGCCTTACAGCATCCCTTCTCAGCTTTTTGGGGTTTTTTGTAATATTAATATTTGCTTTTGTGAAAATCTTCAAATCTTATTTTTTCTTCGTATGCTGTATTGTCCATTGGACTCCTTCTGCACAGCAACTGTACCTGGATTTGCTACAACCACCTGAAATGCTTCAACAAGTTCAGATGTTATGCTCAGTTTTAATTTTTCACAAAAAATTGCTGAGACCCATAATAAGTAAGTAAATAACGCTGTTGTTCCTTTCAGCAGCAAACCCAGACTGGTGCCTCCATGTGTTTGAGGCCAGGAAGTCACACCAGCACAGCCAGAGAATTTAGGGTTTGGGGCAGAAGCACCTTGCCCTGTGTCTTAAGCACAGCATGAGTGCCTTCAGCCTGGGAGCTCACACTGTTGGTACAGATGTATAAAAGGGATGGGCATTCACTTATGAAAATAAATGTGATGACTTACTGCTCAAGGGTTTTTTCAATAGGTACAATTTTATTAAAATAAATATTTCATTATTAATCCAAATATCAGAAATGTGACATTCTTAACTATAACTATGACTGCCTCCTCCATCGCAGACATCTCTTAATATTATCCACACGTGCAAACAAAAGCAGGACTCTGTTAACTGTAAGATTTAAAACTGGTATCAATAATAAACCATAACTAGGTTGCCGTATTGTTTAAAGTTTAAATAAGTTACTACTGCATGTGAGCTTCTGCCAGCACTGATGTACAAGGACCATTCAAATCTGTGAAAATCTTTCACAAGTCTGGAATTGTTTTCTGATCTAAACTTCTGTCCTGGTTTTGTCTGAAGTATAGTTTATTTTCTCCCTAGTACCTGCTACAGGACAGTGTTTTGGGTACAGGATGAGAATAATGTTGATTTATTATTTATAATTATTTATTAATTTAAAACTGATGTTTTGCTTGTTGCTGAGCAGTGCTTGCACTGAGTCAAGGACTTTTCAGTGTCTCACAGTCTGAATGTGAGGAGCTACACAAGAATCCGGGGAAATGGGGGGAACACCTCTGGGACAGCTGACCAAACTGGCCAAAGGGATGTTCCACACTACAGAACATCCATGTCCAGTGTAGAAACTGGGAGAAGCTGGCCAAAATGGACTGATTGCTGCTCAGGGATGGCTTCAGCCTTGGTCAATGGGTAGTGATCAATCTGTGCATCACTTGCTTCTCCTGGGTTTAATGGCACACGCACTGTCTCCCTCTCTCATTACTATTCTCACAGGGCTATATTTTACTTCTTAAAAAAATTATTAAACTATTCTTATCTCAGCCCATGAGTTTTTGCTTCCTCCCCCTTTTCCCCAGCACTGATTCTCCTCCCCATGCCACTGCAGGCGAAGCAGGTGAGCAAGTGAACTGCATGGCACTTATTTGCTGGGTAGTGTTAAACCACGACAACGTCACAGTAAGAATGAACCAGAAGCCCTGGTCAATTGTACGACACAAAAGATAAAAAAGTAAGTTAAGGAAACCATTAAGTTAATAGCCTTATTTTCCTATAATTTTATTCTATTTGCATCTATAGGCAACTATCACAAGATAGTTTAAATATTTGCAAAGGAATGTCTTACAGAGCAAGAAAGGTGCAGAAATGAAATCTAAATACTAAACCTTTTGTTCTTTATCCCCCTCTAGCCAATCATTCTGCACAGACTGTTGCTTAGGATTTGCCTGCTTACACAACATGCTTATGAGCAGCCTGTAAAAACATAATTTCCTTTTAATCATGTGCCGATAAAATTCCCTTTAACTCCTCAAATAAAGAGCATAAAAATATATACAGGCATAAACAAGCACATGTGTCTTAAAGATAAAAGCACAAATTGTCAGACCATTATCAAACACTGCCTTTTTGCAAAGAAAAAAGCTTGAATGAATTCTTCATTTACAGTGGAATATTTTACCATTTTGCAAAACTTATAAATATTTTTCAGCCTCACAAAATAGACCATTATTTTATTCATTTGACCTCATTCCCATACAGCCAGATTCAGTAAAGTTATGGATATGGTTGGTAACTGACAACCAAACCAATGTGGACAAAAAAGCTCTAGAATGTAAAATGCAGAATGTGTACAGCATCTTAAATTTTTTTTGTGTGATTTTTATGCAAAAGTGTAACTGTATACAGCTATGGAACAGCATATATACTGCACTCAGCTCTTTCTTATCATAATTTATGGCTCATTGCTTAATCATCAGGCTACTAAATTCACTTTCTAGACTGAATTCGAGGCAGAATAAAACAAGCTATAGTTTCAGTAATTATTAATTATGCAAAGGTGGTGTTATGTTTGGGATTTGGCAGTTTTGACCCACTGAAAAAAGAGATTTCTTCTTAGCTGTAACACAGCACAATGAAACCTCTGTGCTATTCAGCATAATTGCAGCTCAGAAGAAAATTGCTAAGCTGCTGGCAGTGCACTCCCTGCATCTAGGTCAGAGCATTGTGCTGCTCACTCTTTGCAAAATGCACACTAACTAAGCTGAGACAGACATAATGAGACAGGGATACAAGAGCTTGCAAATCTTGAAAGTGAAAGGGATAATAGGAAAGCCTAAAGAAGAAAATCAGCTTAATCTATCAGGACATGGCCAAGACAAGGAAGTATTCATAACTTCCCACAAAGGTAGGAGGCTAAAATCCAGCAATAAAGATAATTTCCTCAACAGCTATTTAAAGCCACTATCAGAGAGTACATAAAAGGAAGCTCTCTCTCTAGCCAGAAGGTAAGAAAGTAGAAGCTCTCCTACCAAAACACAAACCTATCAAAATGTAGCAGTCCAAAGATACATACACTCTAAAAAATACACACAATTTCCTTAAAAATTATTTACACTTCCCAAATGCACATATAACACTGTCTCAGTGTTAGAAATTTCCCTCCTCCTTTAACAGCTCCAAGCAACCAGCTAGATCCTAAAAACATAAATATGTACCTGACTTTCCCTCCTAGCAAACTCAGATGCACACCTGAAGAAACATAATTCATGCATACCCTGAAGAGGTAAAATTACATGACCCATTAAAAAAATCCAAAACATTACATGACCCATGAAACAGTTCAAATTAACCAGCTTGTTTCTCATCCTCCACTTGTGAAAACTAATGCACTATTTAACCTCCAAGGGTTTAGGCAGATTTCCCTCGCCACAAGGTAACCTTGATTTTGCAGTAAAAATCCTTATGCGGAAGAAATTCCTCAGTCTCCAGCACGGCATTACACAGAGGCACAGCGCATCCCCCTCCTGTGTCTCCCCAGATGCAGAAGCGCGTACCTGAAGGGTCATGATGCTGCGGGGATGCGCAGGGAACGGCCTCGCTCCTTCTCCGCCGGGGACGCGGCGCGTCTGCCAGCGGGCTCGGGCGGCGCTGGGATGGAGCCCGTGAGCTCGGCCGGCACGGAGCAGGCTGGCAGCACACCGGGACTCGCTGCCACCGCGGCCCTCGCACCCGCCGGGACAACTGAGCGGCGACAGCGCCGGGAAGGGGCGCGGGGGCGGGAGCAGAGCCCCCAGTGGTCTCCGCTGGAAGCCTGAGCTCCGGCAATGCCCCTGAGGATCAGGGCGCCAGGCTGAGAGCAGTGATACAGCAAGATTCCCAAGCCGTTTGCTTCACAAAGGAATTTCTTGAGCGATTTGAACTGCAACCAGTCCAGTTATTGGAACTGTTCCTTCTGCCGCAGTCCCTGCCCATGCCCGTGCCCAGCCAACCTGGGACTCGCACCCTGCAGCTGCAGCTCTGGAAAACACGTGGGTCATCCCAAGGATACCTTACACAAGGGCTACACACACAAAAATACTCTGTGAATGCTGGTTTTTAATATGCTCTACTAAGTACAGAATAAAAAGAATATTAAATTAATTGATAAACTACTGTACAAGTGTAACCACTGAAAAAAAAAAACACCCCAAAAACTACCCTACAAGTAGAAGACCACTGAAGAAAAAAAAAAAAACATTGATAAACTACCCTACAAGTGTAACCACTGAAGAAAAAAAAAATCGATCCCTCTTGTATCAACGAATTATTTATATTCATGCCTCTGTACATTTATGTACATCATTCCCTAAGCACAGTATGATCTATGGTAGGTACTTCTGCATTTTTTAGCTGCTAACTTCCATAAAACCATAACAAAAAAGTCATTAAGGGGAAACAAATCCAGGTTAAACTAAGTAAGGAATTAACAAGGAAACAATTCATGTAAATGTAAGTAAGTAGGAGATTTTAAAAATGGAAGAATTTCTGAATCACTGGTGCCCTAGCGAAGAAGCTCTGCTCTTTCAGGGCCAAGAAGCTGTGCTTAACCATGCTGTGCACTACGGTGAATGTGGAAAATGAACGCACTTGTGAAGATTTGTTACAGGCTGAGGGCACATTGCTGCAAACACTGAATGGAACCACTCCTTCCTGCCACCTTGGTCACAGCACACCATGTCCGTGCACAGCACGGCGCACCCCGCACTGCAGCGAGGGACTCCCCCGCGGCTGTGAAGTCGCTTTGAAGCACCGGGTGACCTGGCCCTGACTGGCTTAGCTGACATGCGACTAAGGAAGTTTGCCGTCGCCTATGCGGCAACCTTCGGGAGCGCTCGAGCCCTGGGAACGCCAGCACCGAGCCTACGGTGAGACCCGCCAAGGGCGGGCCGCCAGCACCAGCACTCACGGCTCTGCATCACCGCTACGGCCGCTGCGCCATGCGGCCTCGAGCGCAGCGCGGGCACCGCCCGCCGAGCCGCCACAGCAGCGCACACACTGCCCCTGCTAGGCCCGCTCCCGGCTAGGCCGGCTCCCTGCTAGGCTCATTCCCGGCTAGACCCGCTCCCTGCTAGGCCGGCACACTGCCCCGCCGCGGAGAGACTCGCCCCGCCGCGCCCGGGGGCGGAGCGGGGCCGGGGGCGGAGCGGGGCCGGGGGCGGAGCGGGGCCGGGTTGCATCCCGCGGCGTGCTCCTGGAGCGCGGGATGGCTGAGGTAGGACTGGCTTTGCGCTGCCGGGTGCGGAGCAGCTGCGGCCGGGGCCCCGCGGTGGGGCAGCCGGAGGCCGCTCCGCTCCCCGGGCCCGGGCCGGCCCGCGGTGCTTGGCGGGTGAGGGGCGGCGGCCCGCGATGCTGCGGTCCGGGAAGAGGGTGCTGCGGTCTCGGAGCCCCCGCCCCACAGGGCCCCGCAGCGCGCTGTGCTGGGGCCGTGCTCAGCCCGCGCTCCCGTCGCCGGGAGCGGAGGAGCCCGCGGGCGCTCCGCAGAGGAAGCGGCCGGGCGGGCTCCCGGCGGAGGCGCTGGCGGGCGGCGTTTGTCCATCTCCCTTCCGCCGGAAGCGAGGGGCCGCCACCCTGGTGCCAGGTGGAGGAGCTGTGTTCGTTTGTTCACTCGTTGCTCTGTTTCCTTTTTCCTGCACGCTTGTTTTCCTCAGGAATGCCCATTTTGAAAGGAAAGATGTAATCTTTGAACTGTGAACATGTTCCGTGGTTTTTTTTTCTTCTACGTGTCTGTTGCTGATTTTGCTTGTCCAAAGTCATCAGAGCATCCCTAATTGAAAGCTTTAAAAAGTGATAACCCAGAGCTCATTTTTTAAAGACAATCACAAGCTGCCATTCTAACTGAGTCACACATAAGAATTCTTGTGGTCATTTCCATTTTTTAGTTGTTTCACTTTTTGGTTGTTGCTACTGTGATGGTAAGCAAAAGGGATTAGATAACTGCACAAATGATAGCTCCATGAAGGACTAATAGGTTAAATCGGCACATCTTTATTCTTCCATCCCAGATGCAGCCATTCTGGGTGCTTGGGAGCTGAGGGGAATGCCAGTCCTGTCCTCCCCAGGTGGTTTCTCCAGTTTCCACTGTTGCAGCAGATAACTGGATTACTGATATGGCCTAGAGTATTCCATAGATTATTCTGACAGTACTGAAGAGTGCCCCGGTGCTTTGTTTTGTATTTTGGAATTCTCTGTTTTACTGTTCTCAGAAAATGCCTTCAGTGGTTTTGACTTTCATTTTGGGTAACAGTTCACATTGCACTGATACAACTCTGTTCAAGGTGGAATCATAGACCATCCTCAGTTGGACAGAATTCACAAGGATCATCAAATCCAGCTCCTGACCTTTTCAGTCCAACTCGTGGACTGCCCCCAGAGTCAGACCATGTGCATCTTTCTCCCACTGTCCTCCAGACTAGAGTTTAACTGAGTGAAAATCTATCCAGACAGATGTTGCTTGATGGCAGTACACTTGGGTGAAGATGGTATTTGTCTTTTTATGTCAAGGTAGCTCACTACCAGTACACAGAGAACTGGTATGACTAGTAAAATGGTATCTTTTGGGTGGCAGCTTTTAGGTGTTCATGAGCTGTACATAAATGCAATCTGTATGCCTGCCTGGGTAACTAGGAAACCAAGGAGGGAGTCATGTCATGGTTCCCCTAATTAGAAACTTGAGCTGTGCTTATTCTGTGAGCTTGCCTTTGTAATAGTGGAGATGTTCCCAAGCAGGAGCATGAGAGCTTTGCAGTTTACCAGGGACTGTCATCAGGCTTGACCTCATGTCTTCACTGATACTCTGGACTAGATCAATCAGAGCAAGAGCAATTACACTTCCTCTGCTCCTGTTCAGTTCTTCTCACCCCTGAAGGCATTGTCCAGGTGAACAAAAGATCCCTTCTGAACTTTTGGAGGCATGCAGGGGATTGCCTTCCTTCCCTGAAAGCATAAACTGTTAAAGAGTCTGCAAGTTTTTATTGTATCTTCCAAATACAGAAAAAATACAAAGGCATGGACTAAAGGTTGAAAAAACAGATGTATAAAATTCCTAAATAAATTCAAGAACTTGTTTTTTCATGTTGTGATTCAGTTTTTGCCTTTCTTTTTCCCCTCCCATGTCACGGGGGGCAATGCAGCTGTGCAGCAGTGAAAATGGAGTGGTCCTTCAACCTGTGATTCTGGGGATGGGCTGTTGTTTGGTTGGGCTTGTGGTTTTTTTACATCTGTAATACCTCCAGCTGCTTTTTTTCTGCTTTAGAAGGGTCTTTTGTCACTGCTGTTGCCATACTGTCCTGTCCAGCTTTTTTTATTTCTTAAAAAAAACCCAGCTCCACACCTGCCCTGTGGAAAATGTGTGAGGTTGATAGATGCCAGTGTCACTAACATGCAGTGTTTCTCTTCTGCATTCCCAGAAGAAGCTTCTGGTAGCAATGTCCACAGCAGACAGTACAGTATTTGAACTAATGTTTTGCTCTTCTTCTCAGGGTGACGAAACACAGAACGACCTCAGGATGTCTGTAATTCAGCAAGGGACGGCAACACTTCGGAAAGCAAAGAAAACCACTGTAAAAACATGTCTAGATAACCCCTTTGTTTTCCAGTGGAAAACCATAGATGGAGAAGATATGCATTTTATACTAGAGACCTTAGAAGAAAGGATTAAACACATTGGACTTAAAAAGATTGAGAGTCCAAGAAAGAAAAAACGTTCCCTTACAAAAAAACAAACAGAAGGAAAGTGTGATGCTGGCACCAATGATTTCCCTAAAGAGGAAGCAGAAAGCCACCAACAAAAACCAGGATGGACTGACATAAGTATCAGAAGACAGCTTGCTATTGGAGTTAATGAAGTTACAAAAGCATTGGAAAAAAATGAACTTCTTCTCTTGCTGGTGTGCAAGTCTGCCAAACCCGCCATGATCACGTCGCACCTGATGGAGCTGAGCGCGAGCCGCGCCACGCCGGCGGGGCAGGTGCCGCGGCTCAGCGACACCGTCGCGCCCCTCCTCGGCCTGACGTCCATCTTAGCACTCGGCTTCAAAAAGCACTCTGACAAATTCACTGAGGCAATAGCAGCCATAATTCCAAAGATACCGGCCTTGGAAGTGCCGTGGTTCCAGTACAGAACTGAAGAACCCGTGGCTTATGCAGATACAGATTCTTCAGACAATCTGGAACCTGAAGAGCTTGCAGAGGTGCTGGAGGATAAGCTCACAAGTCAGAAGCGGAAGCATAAGGAAAGCAATCAGCCTGATCTTTCAAATGTAATTTTGCAGCCTTTGAAAATCAAGAAACTTGTCCCAAATCCCAATAAGATAAAGAAACCACCTCGCAAAAAGAAAAAGGCTTTTTCAGCATAACTGAGTTTGGTTCTTTCTATTAAATAGAATTTTAAATGCTGGATGGAGTACAGTTCTAACAGTTCTTTTAGGCTTTACAGTGTAAAGGTCTTGAATACAAGGTGAACTTCATGTTGCACTTGAGGTACTTTCTGCTTTAATAAAAAATATTCCTCAGACTTGAGTGTTAGTCTTTACTGGGGGTAAATATTTTCATTTGCAGCTGGAGATCAGAGTTAAAGCCGGTAATGAACATGCCAAAGTAATTTTAAGACATAATTTATACTTCTTTGGAATGAATACAAAGCATTAAATGAACTTTGTCTTTTTACACAGATGAACATGCTTGAAGCAAGAGATTTAAGTATAATTACTCAAACAAATAAATACCAAAAGTGAAAGTTTATTTAAACAAAGGTCCATGCCAGTATAAGTCTCTTAAAGCTGGGTTCAAGTAAATAGCACAGGCAGACTTCCCTTCTGAACTCTTATTATAGTTTGCTCTGCTGAACAACTTGTTTTTGGTCTCAAATGTATGCAGACTTGGGTTCCACCTGATACCTGGTGCATGGTATGCTGAAGGAAAAGCTGTTTCCAAATACAAAACCAAATTACTACTGCTGCGGTATTAAAAAAAATACTTCCATATGCAAACTATTAACACATATCCTGTGAGAAAATGTAAACCTAAACTCCATTAGATCTCTAAATGAAATCTAAAATTATTTCCCAGGAAATTGACATAAGCCATATACTGTTTTATATAAAGTAGATGAGAACTGTTACTGCTACAAGACTGAACATGTAATTTCTGAGTTTCCTTTAATTTTATTGGGGACCATGAACAATTTCCTAATGAGGGAGCTGGGTTGTAGGAAGGAAGGGAGATAGCACTGCAATTCAGGCAATCAACAGCCTAGGAATTTACTTGTAGAAGAAAGCGTAAATAAAATACCTCAACTGACTAACTTTTGTTGTTCCTTAAAAGATATAATTTACATGTATTTTTCAGAGATTTATTAATCCAGACTTCCACTGGATACAGCTCATCTGTATTTTGAATTTATTTAGAGATTACTTCAGTTCATGATACCAATGATGAAGGCAGGCAGTAGCAATGAGCAGTGATTGTGCTTCAAGTTTAAATACAGCATTTAATGCTACAATTTTTGTCCACGTCTGAGAGTGCAAGAAGAGGTGAAATTTCTTTGCCTTAGTTCATAGTCCTTTATACATGGCATTTTTTCTGAATTTCGGTGCATAAAACTTGGAAGGCATGCTAGCAACTAGTGTGTTTCATTCCCAGGCTGGCTAACCATAGCATAAGATCATAGCATTTAGACAGAGCATAAGGATTAGCTTTGGTAAAAAACAAGCACAGCAATCATCCTTCAAGCACTTCACTGCCTACCCAGGTCTATCTCAGTCTTCAGGGATTTGGGTTCCTGCTGCAGACAGGAAGTTACTTTGGGAAAGAAATAACAAATGTTTAAAAAGCCAGGTGGGAATGGTGGTAGAGCAAGCTTTACATTTGCCAGTCCTTTGCAAACACCTATTAGGTTCTCAGGAGTCTTACCTTCATAGCAGGACTAATGCACACAGGTTCAACCTTGGAAACAAGAGAAGGATCTCCTACTGAGCTCCTGACAGTGGCCCCACAGATCACACTGATATTCACCTTTTGTTTAGTACCTGCTTAGGAAGTCAAAGTGAGTTGCCACAATTTTCACCTCTGTAGTCTTATTATGGGGGTGCAAGCTGGGACACTTTCAAGATTCAAGTTCTCTTGATGCTGTGATACTTCAGCAAAACACTACAAGTGAAGAGCACACAGCAGGGGCAGAAGAGGCCATGCTTAACACACACAAGTCCATGAACAGAACTCTTCAAGAGCTGCCCCAAGACTCAGGCTTAGATGCCTGCTTCCCTCATGCTCTGGCTGATAAATTTTCTCTCAGCTACAGTGCTGCACAGCTTCTACAGGAGCATGTCTTTGCCCTCCAGCCCCCTAGTGAACATGCAGAGGGAGCCAGACATTACAGTTTAACCCCTGGATTCAGAAGCAAATGGCACTATTTTACTAGAAGAGAGCAAGACTGGCCATGCTCCTTCCTTCATGTGCCCTAACCTGAAGATTTAGCAGAAGCCAGGCTCCAGGAAACCCATGTTCAAGTCTGTCTTCTACCTGGACATACTTGGTCCTATCACGGCCTCAGTTTTACAAAGGACAATACTTGGGAGGATCTGCATTCTGATTTCAGAGGAGAAAAGAAATCATCTGCCTAACATTTCTTCCACTCACAATTTTTTGAGGGGAAGGAAGGCAGAGAACATGAACATATCCTTCACCTGGGCTGTAAGGAAGTATCTTAGCCATGAGGACAGAGCTATGTCCTGCTGCCCCACCTCACCTCAGGCTGAGTGAGGACTGCTGAGGCTCTGCCTTTAAGAGCTGAAGCAGAACACAATGAGCTCCTTGGTGAACCTCATCCCACAGCGCTCCAGGAAAATGCCTCCCAAGGAGGCACCATCTTGTCTTCTAGGGGTTAAAAACTGAAGTCTTTGATGGGGTCAAGATTAAATCCTTCTTGTTACTTCAGGTATCACTACAATCAATTACATTTTCAGGCACTTAATTCTGCTCAGGCCTCACACAGAGTCCAAACTGTCTCTGCACCACCTGTTTTGACTGCTACTAGTAGGGAGGTATCAAGAGTGGCCAGAGATGTAAAGCCCAACTGCACCATGAGATTTCCTGTGAAATCCTTTTAAATTCATGAGGTCCTGAGCTGGTGCACAACCAGGGATCAAACAAACCACGTTCAGTCCCTTCCTTTGTTTGAAGGAGGTCGAATGCTTTAATCAGCTGTAACGCAGTAAGGGAAAGTATTTATCACTGTTTCTAGGGCAGAATCCTCTCACCACAATTCAACAAGAAAAAGAAACCAAGCCACAAACCATTCACACAGTGGAAAAGGAGCGGGAAGAAAGAAAAACCCCACTGCTACAAGGTAGTGGGTAGGGCTAACAGTTATGAAGAACAGACAAATTTATCTTCATGTACAGAATTAAACTTTCAGCAAAATCTGCTGTCAGAATTACAGGCATGTTTAAAAGGAAAGTTAGACATTTGCATTTCATGAGATATTCAAGTCACATTCAAAAGATGCTCACAGCACAGAGGCTTCACTACCACAATTTGGCACTTTCAGCTAGAACAGTTTCTTAACACAGATTTTCTCAGTGCTCACGCTGCTGCAGCATCCATGAGCTGACAGAACTGCTATCATCTCTAGCTATGACGCTATGCTGGAATGCATATAAAGTGCTTCAGAAGCCACTCCCATTGCCGAGCATTCAAGAGGGAATTAAAACAGCTCCACCCAACAACAAAGATCAGCCCTTCTACATTTCAGGAAGTGCAGTACAGAGACTTCCAAGGACTGAGGGCAGAGCATTTCTCTTCTGCTAACCAGCCACATATATAGCAAAACTTCTTGTTCCAAAGTCAGGATAAAAACACTACCAGGAACAATTTATGAGTACATATTTACACAAGGTACTTTTCATTAGAATTACAGACTTCATAGGAAATCAGAGTAGACAAAGGAATATGTGCAATTTCGCAGAAGCGTTGAAAACATTCAAACTATAAATATCCTGATAGCACTACTAAAATTCTTAGTTTTACACACAGGCTGATGTTATTCTACTGAGGAAAACTAAGGTATTGTGCCACAACTGTAAATTAAGTACAGTAATGTATTATCATTCTGGCAACATAGATAACACCTGCACTGAACAGTGCGATACTGTTAAATCAATCCACTGATCTATTGAAGATCAAAGTACAAATCTGTATTTTTTATTGATTTGGCAGCGTTGCTTATGGAGAAACAAATGCACTAGTTAAACCAGTACACTGTCATACTGCTCCAGTTACAAAATCATCCAGGACTTTCATATAGCTACAAAGGTATCATACTTCATGATTTTCCCCCAAAGGATATCCATGTTCAGTAAATAAGCAAAGATACTCCAGTTTGTATCCTTCATTCTGTTACACTGACATACATACATCACCACTTAATAAATAGAAATGCAGCAGTTCATCCACATAATAGCAAATATTTTTGTACCCTAATCCACCACTGAAGTTCAGTTTATACAAAACAGTCTTTTCTACAGAGTGGAAAAAATACCTTCTTCTCATCCAGGTGCAAGCTAAGCTTTGAAACTTAAATGAATGTGCTTTTTATTCTTTTCATGGACAACAGGAGAGTTTCATGAACCGTCTGATCTATCTGAAAATGCATAAATTTGGTCACATGTGGATGTCTTTGTTGATCAGCTTTAATGGACTATTTCAGTATCACTGACGTTGTGCTTTTACTCCTCTTGAACAATACCATTTCAAGAGTTATGGAGATCAAATTAACTCAAACGATGACCTCAAGAGTTCTAGAAACATAAAGGTTCTCATTGTAATACAAGACCAACCTAAAGGAAGAAGAAAAATATAATATTTTAGTTCAAGTATGGCAGTAAACCTAAACATCAACAGTCTTCTGCATCTCAATTATGGATCATAAACAGGGCCAATTACATTATTTTTAAAACTTCTGCCCATTGTTGGCCAGTGTAAATTAATGTACCATTACATATAACAGAATTCAGGAACTCATTTTTCTCCCTTACCTTTTCAGATTCCATGCCTGGACATCTCCAGTTGTACAAGTAATACTGCAAATTTCCATCTCCAATCCCAAACTTGAGTTTTTCCAGGAATGTCTTGTTTTCCATTAAGTCTAGTGCATTGAACACATCAAATCCTTTCTGGCAACAGCAAAACATTTTTAAAATTTTACTTTTGAAATTTTCAAATGACACATAAATGATACTTTACAGAGTGGCATACGGTATCCAAGAGACTTAGGCTAATTAAAAGGAAAAAACACAAGGGAATAAATCCTGCCTTTTAATTAGGTACACACACGAAGACATTTTCTCACTAAAAATGAAAATATAATGCACAACTGTTCTTGAACATTAGCTCCAACAGGGTATGAATTTTAAGGCCATTTTAAGGGCCTAATGTCCAAAGAGTCCCTAAAGCATTTCCCATTATTTTATCCTTACAGACATGTATTTTTTACAGTCACATACAGTGTTTTTACAC